AAGGTATTTGAGTCAAATCCTTTGTGTGTGAGTTTGTGTGTTTCCATGTGTGGATAAACCTGATCACACTGAAATGTCTCCTCTTGTTCATGTTCTTGTTGTGTCCACAGACGCTCACAGCACACACTCTGTCCGTCTCTAAACTCCTGTTCATCTTCGACGGCCTCGACGAGAGCAGACTGTCTCTGGACTTTCACTGTGAGGTCATCTCTGAGGTCACACAGAGGTCAGAGGTCAGCGTGCTGTTAGTGAACCTCATCAAAGGCACTCTGCTTCCTACTGCCCTTATATGGATCACCTCCAGACCAGCAGCAGCCAATCAGATCCCAGCGCAGTGTGTGCACAGGGTGACAGAGGTCAGGGGCTTCATCACTGACCATCAGAAGGAGCAGTACTTCAGGAAGAGGTTCACAGATGAAGAGCAGTGTAAGACAGTCCTGTCCCACATCAGAACCTCCCGCAGCCTCCACAACATGTGCCAGATCCCAGTCTTCTGCTGGATCACAGCCACGGTCCTGGACCACATGTTGAGAACCAATCAGAGCGGAGCGCTGCCCCAGACACTCAGCGACATGTACGCCCACTTCCTGTTGGTGCAGACCAAGAGGAAGAGGAAGTATCAGCCGAGATCTCAGCCGAGACCAGAGGAAAACCAACCAAGATCTGAGGCCGGTCCAGAAACAAAGAGAATGAGACTTATGCCAGAGGCACAGACAGAGCTGCTGCAGGAGCAGAGGCCAGAGACAACACTGGTGCTGACAGAGACAGAAGCAGACGTCCTCCTGAAGCTGGGCAGACTGGCCTTTGAACATCTGCAGGAAGGAAACATCATGTTTTACCAGGAAGACCTGGAGCAGGTGGGTCTGGACCTGACCGAGGCCTCGGTCTACTCAGGACTCTGTACAGAGATCTTCAAACGAGAGAGTGTCCTCTTCAACAAATCAGTCTACTGCTTCATCCACCTGAGCGTCCAGGAGTTTATGGCAGCGATTTACCTGCTCCACTGCTTTAGAAGTGACACACGTGTCGTTCAGAGGTTTCTTGGTGAAAAAGACAAATCTAATATTAAGTGCAAGTGAGTTTCTCAAACGATCTCTTGTTAAATCCCTGAGGAGTTCAAACGGCCGCCTGGACCTGTTTGTGCGCTTCCTTCATGGCCTCAGTCTGGACTCCAACCAGAAGCTTTTAGGACGTCTGCTGAGTCCAGTAAACCAATCAGAAATCACCAAAGTCATTCAAAACCTGAAAGAGATGAGCTCAGAGGAAAGTCTCTCCAGACCAAAGCATCAACATCTTCCACTGTCTGATGGAAATGAAGGACCAGTCGTTCCTGCAGCAGATCCAGGACCTCCTGAAGTCTAGAGGAGAATCACAGGAGGAACTGTCTGAGTTCCAGTGCTCGGCTCTGGCCTACATGCTGCAGATGTCAGAGCAGGTCCTGGAGGAACTGGACCTACAGAAGTACAACACGTCTGATGGGGGTCAACAGAGACTGATCCCAGCGGTGAGGAACTGCAGGAAGGCTCGGTCAGTCCTCACTCACAAACAGCAGCTTCACAGACCTGTGTTAGGACTAAACAAACACATTTAAATTAAACATCTGCTTACAGGTTTGTTAACTGTGGACTCTCAGAGATTCACTGTGAAGTGGTGGCCTCAGCGCTGAAGTCCAGCCCCTCCCATCTAAAAGAGCTGGATCTGAGTCTGAGAATGACCTGAGTGACTCATCAGTGTCTGTGCTGTGTGCTGGACTACAGAGTCCTCACTGTGAACTCTCCACTCTCCGGTCAGTCTCCTCTGTTTCAACACAAAGTAAACTATTAAACACACTGTTAGTGTTTAGTGGGAATATTATTTAAATGGTCATTATATTTTTTTCTCATTAAGAGTTACAAGGTTTTAACTTAAGTTGTTTTTGAGAAATGAGTTGAAGCTGTGAGGACTTGGTGAATGACAAATAGTGTGTTAACAATGGAGAAAAACTGTCATATAAGATGTTTAACCACATCATGTGTTCTTTATTCAGATTGAAGTGCTGTGATTTGTCAGAGAAGATCTGCTCCTCTTTGGTCTCAGCTCTGAAGTCCAACCCCTCACACCTCAAACATCTGGACTTAAGTGATAACACAAACCTGTGTGATTCAGGAGTGTTTCATCTGTGTGGTTTTCTGCAGAGTCCAGACTGTCGCCTGGAGACTCTCGGGTCAGTTCACTGTCTCTTACTTGTGTCATGTTTCAGAGTTTCACTAAAGAGCTCGACTATAATAAGCTCTAGTATTTACTCTGTACTTGGAGTCAGAGGTGGCCAATAATTAATTACACTTAAATGTAAGTACACTGTCACTTTTCTGGTGGGTTTTGTGTCCTGTTTGTCTCCATGGAGATGCTTTTGTGTTGACAGGAAAGGGCCAGACCCTCCACCAGAAAAGTGACATTTTAATATTCTATATTCTAAGGAAAGTGTTGTTGATTTAAATGTTATTAAGCCCAGAAAATATTGACATGTTAATAATGTATTTAATTATTCACAATGTCTCTATAAACACAGTCTAAATTTGTATGAACTTAAACCACATCATGTTTTCTTTATTCAGATTGGACAACTGTGGTTTGTCAGAGAAGAGCTGCTCCTCTTTGGTCTCAGCTCTGAAGTCCAACCCCTCACACCTCAGACAACTGGACCTGGGTGATAACAACCTGTTTGGTTCAGGAGTGTTTCATCTGTGTGGTTTTCTGCAGAGTCCAGACTGTCGCCTGGAGACTCTGGGGTCAGTTCACTGTCTCTTACTTGTGTCATGTTTCAGAGTTTCACAGAAGAGCTAGACTATAATAAGCTCTAGTATTTACTCTGTACTTGGAGTCAGAGGTGGTAGAGAAGACTGGATTTTCTTGAGTGTGTGAGTGAGTGTGTAAAGTATGGAGCTGGTATCTTCTGCACATGTAAAAGAGCTCCTGGGTCAATGGTGACAATTGCTCAGTTATGTTCAGTTTGGGCTTCAATATCCATATTTACTACAAACTAAACGTAAACAATGATATAACAAAACTCATGAAGAAGTCAAAGATGACATGAAAACAAATGTGCTGTTGATTTATTTGACATTAAATCCAGAAAAGACTTTACAACATACTCAGTAATGCTTTTCATATGTGTCTATTATTATTAATGCTCTACTGCCATGTCTTTATTTTATGTCTCTAGAAACATACTCTATATTTCTATATTTCTATATTTCTATGGACGTTAACCACTTCATGTTTTCTTTACTCAGATGTGTTCAAGGTTTTAACTGAAGTTGTTTTTGAGAAATGAGTTGAAGCTGTGAGGACTTGGTGAATGACAAATAGTGTGTTAACAATGGAGAAAAACTGTCATATAAGATGTTTAACCACATCATGTTTTCTTTATTCAGATTGTGGGACTGTGGTTTGTCAGAGAAGAGCTGCTCCTCTTTGGTCTCAGCTCTGAAGTCCAACCCCTCACACCTCAAACATCTGGACTTAAGTTTTAACACAAACCTGTGTGATTCAGGAGTGTTTCATCTGTGTGGTTTTCTGCAGAGTCCAGACTGTCGCCTGGAGACTCTCAGGTCAGTTCACTGTCTCTTACTTGTGTCATGTTTCAGAGTTTCACTAAAGAGCTCGACTATAATAAGCTCTAGTATTTACTCTGTACTTGGAGTCAGAGGTGGTAGAGTCGACTAGAATTGTAAAAGTACTTTTACTTTTACTTCATGTTACTCAATTAGAAGAAAAAAGTTGAACTTCAAAAATAACTGTAGTGAGAGTGAACATATTTGAGGAGAACTGTCCTTCAGTGAGTGTAACTGAGGAATTGTCTGGATACATTTACATTTATAATTTGACGTTAATATAATTGGAAAAGGACGCAGCTACTGATTATTTTAGTAACTGAGTAATCTATTCATTATTTACTTTTATTTTTTCGTTTTTTAAGTTTCGTAGTTTGTGCTTAAAGTAACACATTTCATTCTTAAGTACACATCAGTTTGTCCCCAAACGGCAACATTTCACCTCGATAGACAGACACCCCAGTTCAAAATGTCCCCAGAATATTTGTGATGGTCGTTCTTCACTGAGGTGGAGTCATTTTGCAGCAGTAGCTCTGTGTGTCCTTCACTTTAGCCTCTGTGTCTTCACCTCAGGTCCAGCTCTTTTATTTAACTGTTTTGTTTTCATCATCGTGGTCCTCCGTGCTCTCGCACTAAACAAAACTCCTATAAAAAGTTGCACAAGTCAGTGTGACTGAGAACTACCCACCTGTGCTTTAGTAGAACAGAGGTTCTCAGACAGTCTCAAACCACTGGTGGTACTCAGGGTCTTCTCCAATCTTCACCTTCATCAGTTTGACTTTGACACAATCGTCTCATTCCATGTGAAATCAAGTCAGTGGATTTTCTTGAGTGTGTGAGTGAGTGTGTAAAGTATGGAGCTGGTATCTTCTGCACATGTAAAAGAGCTCCTGGGTCAATGGTGACAATTGCTCAGTTATGTTCAGTTTGGGCTTCAATATCCATATTTACTACAAACTAAATGTAAACAATGATATAACAAACTCATGAAGAAGTCAAAGATGACATGAAAACAAATGTGCTGTTGATTTATTTGACATTAAATCCAGAAAAGACTTTACAACATACTCAGTAATGCTTTTCATATGTGTCTATTATTATTAATGCTCTACTGCCATGTCTTTATTTTATGTCTCTAGAAACATACTCTATATTTCTATATTTCTATATTTCTATATTTCTATATTTCTATATTTCTATGGACGTTAACCACTTCATGTTTTCTTTACTCAGATGTGTTCAAGGTTTTAACTGAAGTTGTTTTTGAGAAATGAGTTGAAGCTGTGAGGACTTGGTGAATGACAAATAGTGTGTTAACAATGGAGAAAAACTGTCATATAAGATGTTTAACCACATCATGTTTTCTTTATTCAGATTGAGCTGTGGTTTGTCAGAGAAGAGCTGCTCCTCTTTGGCCTCAGCTCTGAAGTCCAACCCCTCACACCTCACAGAACTGGACCTGGGTTTTAACATTCTGGAAGAATCACATGTGAAGAAGCTCCTGGACCTTAAACAGAGTCCTGACTGTCGTCTGGAGACTCTGAGGTGAGTTGTGACTTTATGGGGCTGTTTTGAGTCTGGAACAGTTGACACATGTTTCCTTCTGTTTTAAAACTGGCACATGGATTGGCTAATTTACGCCTGAACCACAGAGCGGCAGAGTGCCCTGCACCAGGCTCGTTTCACTCACGTCCCTCCAAACCTTTTTCATGTTTTATTTTTCGAGGCTCGTGCAGTGAAGCGGTCTTCAGTCAAAAACAAAAATGTGTTTTTCTTGACCTAATCAGCCCACAGAGAGCGAGGAGACAAACATATCCAGTCAGACTTTGCTTGGACAGACCTGTTCTCAGCTGTAATCGAGAGGGATCTGGCTGCAGACCTTCACCCAGAGGACCCTCACGTGACTCACCTCCTTCCACACGTCCCTCAACAGTAACAAACAGCAGTCAAAAGAGAGACACACTTTACTGTTTTCAACAGAACCTTACAAAAGTTCACATTGTTTTACATTAACGACCATAGACTGTTTATATAAATGGACGTAGCTAATGCGCTAGTCTCCACGTTCCAAACAAGAAGTTCACATGTGGCTCTTCTGGCTCCTTCTGACTCTGGCTCCCATTGACTTACATTGGAATATTGTGGCTCCTCTCTCTGTACCTGCTGCTGTGGCCTCGACAGTTCAGTCTTAAAATGTTCGTATTAACTCGCTCTATATGATCTTGTTTTTTTTTTTCTGCTGTTGTCAGTTTAAAAAATCCTGTTCATAACTTAGAGTCTGGCTCCAGATTGGCTCCTGTAACCGTGAGCATCGAGAGCTTCATTTGAGTGGAGCTGAACGCTGTGGTGACGTCACACTCACTTAGTCCACGTCTTTATCCAGTCTGTGCTAAAGACACAAACCTTTTCCTAACCTGAACCATTACAGATTTGTGCCTCATCTTCACCAGACACAGGGTCTACAGCAGCAGATTCATGGACAAAATTGGATTTTATTTGTATTTACCCAGTTGTAGGCCACATGTCCACAATTAAATGTTTTATGTTTGTGATGACAAACTGTTAATTTCTCTGCAAACAGAGACCAGACAACACAAAGATACTTTCACATTAGGACACTTAAAGAAATGTACTGAGGATTAAAACAATCTCTGAAGTTCTGATAAGTGCAAAAATTCAAATGAACTTTCAATAACATTTAATAGTGAATGAATGTGTCAAACACACAGGACCTACAGGGACAACAGAGTGCACCTTAACTTAACTTCACCTCGAGGCAAAAACTGATAAAAACTGTAATAAATTTTCTCATAAAAAGTAAATAAATGAAAATGGTGAGGGACGTGTTGGTGGAGGTCTACAGCCAGACTTTGTGGCTCTAATCTGCTCTAGACTTCAGCACAGAGAAACACAACAGAGACTTTCCTTCACTCGTGTGTCGTGTTTCAGGAGTTAAAGCCAAAGTCACTTTTTACACAAGTTTTTCATTTTGGTTGTTTTTTTTATTCCTCTGGAAACTCAGAAAAACCTGTTCCCAGACTCAGACTTGGCCGGACTTTATTTGAGGTCTGGAGTTCACTGCACTGGAATCCACTGAAGAATTTACACTTTGTATAATCGACTTTATCCTCCATCTGTTTGATCCTGGTCTAGTCCTGGTCTAGTCCTGGTCCTGGTCTAGTCCTGGTCTAGTCCTGGTCTAGTCCTGGTCTAGTCCTGGTCTAGACCTGTTGTCGTTTAGTTTTGGATGTGATGTGTTTACAGGTGTGTAACAGTTTAAACTGAATCATTTCTGATCTCTGCTTCCTCCACAGTTGGAGACACTGAAGATGTGCAGCTCGTGTGCAGAAGCTTCAGACGGAGCTCAGAGGCAAGAAACAGAATAATCAAAAAAAAAAAGTGCGTCATTTAAACATTTCTTAATTGTGATTTTATTAATACTCAATACATTTACTTTTTGTGTTTAAATACGAGCTCAATAAAACAGAAGCAGCACTAATAAACTTTTAATAACATATTTTTTCTTCACAAAGATCGTGTTGATAATTTTACACATGAATCTTGTGTTTGATCATTTTCAGTTTAATCTTGGCTTTCCTGTTTTCCAGGGTTTTGGTTTTAGTTTTTGGTCGTGTAACAACCCTTTAAAATCTGTTTCTGTAAATAAGTTCTTATTTGTTCATGGTTACACATTTTCTCCAGTTGTTTTTTATAATATGTTCACAGAATCACGTAAATAACAAATTTTCACTCTATCATGAAATCGAGGTCAATGTAAATTTTAGCTGAAGCATTTTAACGCCCTCACCGGACAACAAGATCAAGTCAAATTTGGATAAATCTTCTTCTCCAAAACCCTTTGCAAATTGATTTATCTCTAAGAATCAAAAACCAGTTGTATCCTCATACTTTACTTCGACTTTGCACTGGCCCGAGCGTCTCGTGATGTACGGGAGCACGAAGTGTAATCGGCTCTCACATGAGTATTATTCATGTCAGAAAAGTGCAATGTTTGGAAAATAGTAAAGTGCTGCTACTCCGACAATGAAAAAGAAAAAAAATTAAGTATTGGGACGCGTGAAAAATAATGTTTATGCCGCTACTCTGACAGCAGAACAGCAGCATGTCGGAACATAGCGGCGTGACAGAACAGCGGCATGTCGGAATAACAACATGTCAGAACAGCGACCTGTCGGAACATAGTGGTGTGTTGAAACATAGCGGCGTGTTGAAACAGCGGCATGTCAGAATAGCGGTATGTCAAAACAGCAGCACTTGACCGCTGTCCAAGTTTTCACAGGATGGTGGTGCATTTGTGACAGAACCTACAGCACCATCTACTGGGCGCATGTGGCACTTCACAGTTAAAAGTTAAAAGTTAAAGTTTAAAGTAACACACTTCAAAAATAATGAGTAAAACTTGGCTGAGTTACAGATATTTATTATATTTTACATTTTTTTCTTGTAAATGTACAAAACTTAGGCTTTATTTGACACCGGTATCTTGTCTTTTTTGCTGCTTTTTTAGAACGTATTATTACCATTTATATTTTTACTCTTTGTTATTATAAAATATTGTGATGTGTGAGCTACCGAAATAATTTTAATGTGTGGATCACCAGAGGATAAAATCCACCTGTTGTAACTTTATTGTGTTTAATATGTTATTGTTACTGAAAATGTGGATTATTATTTGGTTTGAATATGACTGAAATGTTTTAATTTGGTAAACCGGATGTGTTTTATTGTGAAAGGAACTGGACAGGATGTACAATGTATTTTAACCCCCATGTTGAATATTCAAAAAAAGAAAAATAATCACAATAAAAATGCAAACACTGATGTTCCAATGAAGAAATCCTCCTCGGTCATTTATTCACTTCACTACGTAATAACACGTACAATGGAAGCATGACCAGACTGTACAGAATCCTTGAATACAACTGTGTCGAGTCAGATTCAAAATGTAATTGATAATGTTTGTTTGCACATGGGTTTAGTGTCTTTTGGCCAAATTTGAAGTGTTTGTAATTAAAAGTGTGCGTGGAGATGTCCTGAGTACGCCAGTGTGTGCGTTTATTATTCCCGGGTTTGATCCAGTACGGTCGACTTCCTGCTGGGTTTAGGACGGGGCCGTGATAGATATTTTTTCATCTCCTGACATGTTTTCGTTTCATAATTTTACATCGATTTTTTTTTCCATGTCGGGCTCATGAAAATCAAAGTTTGAGGTGGCGCCGCTGAGTCGTCTTTCTCCCACTTCTACTGCCCAAAAAAAGCCCAAAAACCTCACAGCGACTGGAGAGTTGAGACAGAACGACTTGTACTTGGAAACGTTTTTAATTCAAAGATTGTGGTGATAAAATAAATTCTTGGTCGACTTAAGACGAGGGACGTAACAAAAACTGAAATGTCATGATATCGTATCATCAAAGGTCTCAGTAATATCCTGGGCTGTCACGATAAATCGAATCACAAAGTACTATTACTACTACTGCTACTACTACTACTACTGCTACTACTACTACTACTACTACTGCTACTACTACTACTACTACTACTACTACTACTACTACTACTGCTACTACTACTACTACTACTACTACTGCTACTACTACTACTACTGCTACTACTACTACTACTACTACTACTACTACTACTACTACTACTACTACTACTACTACTACTACTACTGCTACTGCTGCTACTACTACTAGTACTACTACTGCTACTACTACTAGCACTACTGCTACTACTACTAGCACTACTACTACTGCTATTACTACTACTACTACTACTGCTACTACTACTACTACTACTACTACTACTACTACTACTGCTACTACTACTACTACTACTACTACTACTACTACTACTACTGCTACTACTACTAGTACTACTACTGCTACTACTACTACTACTGCTACTACTACTACTACTAGCACTACTACTACTACTACTAGCACTACTACTACTACCACTACTACTACTACTACTACTAGCACTAATAATATAATGTAATAATGTAATAATAAAGAGTCAGTGTAAATGTGCAGGTTTGTGAGTTAAACGTGTGAATGAAACAAAACTCAGCTCCAGGTCTGTTTGTGATCAGAAAATCGTCTCATCTGGACTCTTGAATTCAAATCCGTTCTTATTTTGTATTAGAAGGTTTCATCTCATGTGCGAATGTTTATTTTGTCACTTCATTTCAAACGTGTAGTTTTCAGAGTTACACGTTATTACTATAGTTCTTTTAAATTAAATTATCATCACTATTTTACTTAGTCTCCATCTGATCTTAGCTCTCCATTTTCATTTTTACTATAACTTTTAAGAGCTTTATGTTTATGTTTTATGTTTCTGTTTAAATTGTTGTATTTCAAATGTATGAAAAGTGTATATAGTGTAAATAAAGTTTGATGGATTGATTGAAGTATTTTTTCTCAGTTTTACACTCTGGACAGTTCAAGTGTTTTGCCTCTGTCGGGCAGTGTAGTTCTGTGACAGTAACATGAAGAGCGCAGGGTACAGACAGTTCCTTAAATCAAACAGAAGAGATTTTCTTTGTCTCATTGGTCTCTGGAGAAACACTGCAGATGAATGAAATCTTGTTACGGGAAACCTGAAGATTCCTGATAGACCCATGTTACTGAAGAACAGGTTACAAAAGTCTAAAAAAAAAAACAACAACTCCTGATTACATAAAAATAAACACACACTCTTCAGACATAAATAAGGACATTTTAGCCTCTTTCTAAAAAACGCTGACGCTCCAAACTTCAGAACCAGAACCACGGAGACAGACCCGCTTCACCTTCAGCTCCACGCTTCCCTCCGCGCGCACTGATGACGTTTAATGTTTACAACGAATGGGCCCTGAAATATGACGTCATTATGTAGTTCTGTCTCTCAAGAGGGTCTGGCTGCAGAAATATGACGTCATTATGTAGTTCTGTCTCTCAAGAGGGTCTGGCTGCAGAAATATGACGTCATTATGTAGTTCTGTCTCTCAAGAGGGTCTGGCTGCAGAAATATGACGTCATTATGTAGTTCTGTCTCTCAAGAGGGTCTGGCTGCAGAAATATGACGTCATTATGTAGTTCTGTCTCTCAAGAGGGTCTGGCTGCAGAAATATGACGTCATTATGTAGTTCTGTCTCTCAAGAGGGTCTGGCTGCAGAAATATGACGTCATTATGTAGTTCTGTCTCTCAAGAGGGTCTGGCTGCAGACACATGAATGTTTTTCAGTCTGTACATTTGATTTATGGTGAAATGTGCCGTTTATTTGGTGTCTCTTTTGATAGTAACTAACAGTGTTGTGCAAGTTCACACTTTTCATGAACTAGTTCAAAGTTCAGTTCATTTTATATTTAGATGAGATCTGTAAATGAAAGGCTGCATTTATTTTTCAAACTGACTTCTAGTTTACAACAACTTTACAAGATCCACTGTTGGACAAGTGACTTTAAAACTGTAATGTGTTATTTATGACTTGTTACTGTAATTTCAAAGTCATTTGTTACATTACAATATTACTGTATTTAAAATGTAAGGCATTACATTACTATTGCAGCACTTTTAATTTACTCTCACCAAAAGAACTGTTAAGATGCTGAACTTTTGCTCCGTATATGGACTGAACCAGGACTGAACCAGGACTAAACCAGGTCTAAACCAGGACTAAACCAGGACTAAACCAGAACTGAACCAGGACTGAACCAGGTCTAAACCAGGACTAAACCAGGTCTATACCAGAACTGAACCAGGACTAAACCAGGTCTAAACCAGGTCTAAACCAGGACTAAACCAGGACTGAACCAGAATTGAACCAGGTCTAAACCAGGACTGAACCAGGACTGAACCAGGTCTAAACCAGGAATAAACCAAGACTAAACCAGGACTGAACCAGAATTGAACCAGGTCTAAACCAGAACTGAACCAGGACTAAACCAGGACTAAACCAAGACTAAACCAGGACCAAACCAGGACTAATCCTGGACTAGAACTTGGAATCTAGGACCGCCCCTGAGAGAACCCCGAGTGCGATCGTGCGTCAGCTGCGTTTATCTCGGTGGAGCGTGGACTTCTGCGTCGGTCCTTTCGCTCAGGATCACGGTCTACGCGGGCGAACCTCCGGCGTTTCACCGCTGCTGATATCGCGGTGATTTTAGCAAATTTGTATGAAAAAAAACGAAAAACCCACCATTTCAATCCAGGTTAAAAAGCATTGTGACGCGCGTTACTGACATTTGTACCAAGTAAAATAATACGCGCGCGGAGCAGCACGTCCTGTGCCTGTAGATTTCAGAAAATAGGATCCATCCTATTTTTTGACGCTCTACACGAGCGTAGGCGCGTATCCCCGTCAAAATACACAGAGAGCATGAATCTGTTGTTGTATTTGTGCATTTACCATCAGCCCTGGGCAGTTGTGTATCATGTGAAAGAGCCCAGATCCACATACACTGTTAATTAGTGCTTTGAAATTTACTTTTGAAATCCTTGCGTTTGCCGTGGTCAGCCTGTACAGAAGGTAAATACAAGCAGCTAAACGCGCCCAGTCAAGTTTGATTGACTTCCCATTGAGAGACACAAGAGCCCGTACGTTCCGTTAAAGCTGCCGGTGGAGTGGCCTTCGCGTTGACACGCGGCTGTGGTTTCGCGAGGTGAAGTGCGAGCAGATCGTCACTCGTCAGGTGAAAACAAATTCCGACATTTAACTGAACCCCAACAGTGACGTACGTCGTTCATCACACATAATTTGAACAAATTCACGTTCAAGTTCTTGATTTACAAACGTGTTGCGTTCAGTTCAAAGTTCACTGAAAAATGAACGTGTTCAATGAACGCGCTCTTTTGAATGCGTTCATGCACAACACTGGTAACTAAGTACATGTACTATAAGAATGTACTATTGTACTGTAATAAAATAATAATGTAATAAATGTAATAAACTGTGGTGTTCCACATGATCATATCTGGCAAAGATAATTTGTTCATTTTTGATTGTCACTTGCTTCAGCAAAGAGGGAAAACAATGAGATTTACTGACATACAGCTGTTAATGCAGTGTGTGTGTGTGTGTGTGTGTGTGCGTGTGTGTGTGTGTGTGTGTGTGCGTGCGTGCGTGCGTGTGTGTGTGTGTGTGTGTGTGTGTGCGTGTGTGTGTGTGTGTGTGTGTGTGTGTGTGTGTGTGTGTGTGTAATGGATTTAATGTTTGACTCTTCATATTATGATAAAGTATTTCCAGAAGTTCCTTGGATTGTTTAATAAACCATCTTTTCTCAGGAGAGATTCTTTCTTTCTTTACAAACTGACTGTATAAATCTAATCCCTGGTCCTTAATAATGATATTTAGTAAAGCAAATCTCATCACAGTTTTTTTTTTTTAACTTTAAGATAATTTTGCCTATTTAAGATGTATCCCTTAAATATAGCCGTTTTGTTTTGCAAAAGTTAAACATACATTTTCATTTTTTTTTTAGAAGATTTGGATGCGAAATATTAAAATAATTTGGTCACAAAATCCGACAGTTTGATCATCTGTGCGTCTTTTTACTGATCCGTGTGTGGAATCTGCGCGGAGCGTGTTAGCATTAGCATTAGCGCTAGCGCTAGCAGCGTCCCTCGGTTGCTAAGCGACGGGAGAGCGGCTCCGTCCTGTCCCATTTCCACACCGGCCTGGATTATTATTATTATTATTATTATTATTATTATTATTATTATTATTATTATTATTATTATTATTATTATTATTTTAATAGATCCATGCCTGGAGTCCGCGGAGGACACTTCAAACCCTTTGAATTGGGACACAGCCATTGACTTGAACGGGCGGCCATTTTGGAACCTGGG